AGTGCTAAACCTGTCTTGCAAATACTTTGGACTTCGACATTCTTATTCGAGCTTCGCAGATTTCGAACTTGATCATTTTCATGATCAAACAGGTGTGTCTAATAGGTTCATGAACTTTTAACTTTAAGTCTAATAAATTCGTGAGACTTATTAGATATTTATAAAGTTAAAAAATTCATTGGACACACAATTGAAAGTTCAAAAACTTAAAAGACGTTTTTTAATTTAGAAATTTTATGTGATATTTTGAAAAGTCCATAGACTTATTTGAAAATCTGTAAAAAAATTTAAGAATTAAAATTGTAATGTCGTCATAAATTTTCTAATTTTAACCTGACATAATAAATAGAGGATTTATATGTTGGGTTTGTAAGGGAAATGCAAACAAAGTCAGGGGAGAGATTGATTTTGAGACACAATTATCTCTATTGGTATGAGACCTTTTAGATGAATCCATAAGCAAAAGCGTGAAGGTAAACAATATCATACTATTGCACGGGGTAAAGTCCATACAGTTTACAAATAATTAAATTTCTAGGACCTATTTGATAATTTTTTTTTCTTGTTTCCACTTTTTTTAATAACTAAAAATAAAGTAGCATTTGATATGCGTGTTTATTGTTTTTAGTTTTTATTGAAAAAAACGAACAGAAACAATATGTTTGGTAACTATTTATTGTTTCTCATTTTCTAAAATTTTAAATTAAAAGATCTAAATTTTGTATATGAAATTTTATTTTTTAAAATTAAATAATCAAAATTTTAATGTTATATTAATTTTTTAAATATTTATTATACATTTTATAATTATAAGTCAATAATGATAAAAATAACGCTCTTATTTATATTTTAGAAAGAAACTGGAAACTGAAAGTTGGAACAAGAAGCGAGAAACTTGATTTTGTTGTTTTCAAAGTTTCTACACGATTTTAAGAACGTTTCTTAAAAATGAGAAATAAAAAACAAAAATCGTTAAAAAACTTTTAAATTTCTGAAAAACTAAAAACAAAACATCAAGAAACAAAAATCTTACCAAACGAGTTCAAATTGACGAAAATAAAATCCCTTTCTTGGCCTTTGTGAATTAGTTGTCTAAGTGTGTCACTAATGTACACAGCTTATTTGACCTAAAAAATGTCAATATAGAGGGCATTTGAAGGAGTCATGCATGCCCACATTTCTACTTGTTTCCTTTCCTACTAAAAACTTCAAAGTTTATTGCTCTTCCTTTAATGCCCTTCAAATGCCCTCTCTCTCAGACAACACAAAAATCAAACAACAATCACATTAGTGTTTTGCCAAAACTAAAGATCATTTATATCCTCTAAGAGGTAAGAAAGAGATAAACGCTCAACTTTTTAAGCAGTGCAAAGTCAATGCCAAAAATAGTCGAACAATGAAACATACTCACAAATCACACCTAAATTGTTCTTAAAAAGAGAGAACACGACACTACATTCACTAAGCTCCCAAATTTTCCAACATTTCAAATCCTTCCCTTTTTCATCTCTATTGTTTTGTCCAACAAATGGCCAAGTGTCTCTCTCTTATTGCATTTTGCAAATAAGGCCATATTTGAATCCAAGAGCATTTTTTTTTTTTGGGTACTATTTGGTGATTATACATATCCCAATGCTATAAAATCCAAGCAAAATGAGTAAATTTAGGGTTGTTGTGGTGCTGTCTCCTAAAAGGGGAATTCACCCTCAATTTCTCATCAAAATTTCTTCCAAAATCAATCTTTTAATATAAGTTGTTCCCTCTCCTAGATTCACTATATAACAACATCAACTAAGGAGGCTCCCTTTTCACAAACATTTGTGTGTGTTTTGTTCACAATGTGAGGAACACTATGAATTAAAATTTGTCGTGTTCGAAGAAAGAACTATAGATAAATGTTAAGAGGCTAAAAATAATTATAGGCGTGACATACAGGTGCAACTGATAAGTTATTCATCGACAAATCCCTACATGTCGTAAATACTCTCAGTAACAAAAAATGGTTTTCAGCGACAATAATTTTTTGATGTCTCTTAAAATATATGTTCTTGTACTGTTTATGCTTATTGAAGGACAATATATACTTGACAAAGTTACAGTCGTGAATACTGATTACCGATATTTTATTGGAATTGAAGAGCTAAGTTCATAAAACTCCTGAGACAATTTTTTTTTTTTTTTTGAGATACATAAAACTACTAAGACCTATAATCATACTAATTATAACCTCATTGGACATACTCTTTTCCATGTGAGACACAAGTGAACTTATAGTTTCAGAGTAACTAAAATCTAGATAATGAATTTGGACCATAGACCACTCAAGAGCCTAATGTTGGGCCTGAAAGCCCAATGAATATATGATAGTAGTGCTAGTGTTGGGCAATAAATCCAAACCTCTTATTGGGCTTATGTCTTCTCTTTCAACATTGGATTTGGGCTTCTTCTTCTTCTTCTTTTTTTTGGTTAAGTACATCAGTACCCCATTTGGAGATTTTAATTGCAAAAATGGGTTAACTATTGAAACTTTACACTTAATTTGTCTAAAACTAGCCCATTTAGGATGAAATCTATAATAAATTATCAAGTTGCCCATTGAAGTGTATATTTCTCATAAAAAGATAATGTCTTCGGAGGGCTATTTTAGAAACTTATTTACACAAATGTCTAAATTTTTTTTAATTTTACACTTTTAGATTTCTGTATGTACAATTTTATTTTAATTTCAATTTTACCCTTATTTATTGCATTTATCATTTATTATAGTTATTCGTTTTTTAAATATAAAAAGATTTAATTCCATAAAATATTATCATAATCTTTTAATTAATGTGGGTCCCATACTAAGATTGATTTCTTGATTTAAGGGACATGGTAGGTTGAAAATTATGTCGAGAACTTTGTGAGTTTTTTCCATATAAACCTCATAAAATCACTATTAGCAACTCACTCTCCAACTATAACCCTCGGATATATCTGATATAAACTAAACTCCATATAAACTTCCCAAAATCACTGTTAGAATATTAACAGGGGAATGAATCGTACTCTTGTTTTTCTTTTTAACATTTATGACAGGGTGTTTAATTTTCATCATATTAACAAAGGATTGAATCAAATTGTACTCGACTTTTCCTTTGGTTGGTTTCATTTGACTTTCATATTCATCTGATGCTAGTGTGGTAGATCTTATTCTCTCTCTCTCTGTTTTTTTTCTTATTATTATTTTGCCATTAATGCATTATTGCTGTCTCTGTTTATGGTATATTAACAGAGGAATGAAGCATATCATAGTTTTCTCTTTAATGTTCATACTTCCCTTTTTCTTTTAATGCCTCTCTTTGAGTTCCTCATTATTGTTTTTTGTAATTATCCTTTTTTTCCCTTGCTACCAAAACCTGGGGATCTTTTCTATAATTTTACTTTTGTAGTCACTGAGTTGGTTGGGCCTTGTCGATGTGGAATCCGTTTATGTTCTTTTGTTGATTAAAATTTCGTTCTTTTTTTTTTTTAAGTTCAATGAGTTCATATTTTTTTAATTGGTTAGAAGTAGTAGACTGAATTGTAAGTTTAGAATCCATCTCTCCTCCTTCGGTGCTGCAAAATCAAAGACCAAAAATATCACTCGTTTTTGCAGAGCACGGAAGCAGCACATGAAACCACAATGACAGCCTCTGAAAAACCAGAAGGTAGCAATCCATCCTTGAAGAAGGTACAATCATCATTAGCTAGTAGAAGTTCTTCCAAATGGAAAGTGAATAAGTTTTCTGTCCGTCGATCTGAATGTATTCAAAATTCAACACCTCGATGCCTCAATATACAACAGAGCGTCGTTGAAGAGATAACTCTTAGTGATGGAGAAGATGAGTTGCCCACCTCTTGACCAAGAGAATGGCTTGCCTGAGTACATGTTCGGGGACAAAAACTTGGAAGGGAAAATCGACTACATTGTGAAACTACTCGAAGCACATGGCCATTCCTTAAACTCAATAAAGGCTGAGGTACAAGTGCCTATCATTTTTTTCTGTTACATTATTAGGTTGGGTGATTTTGCTCATTAATTGGTGAAAAACAGGTTATTAAGAAATCCTCCTCGATGGAAACAGTACCGACACCTGATATGAAGTACAAGAGCATGTATATAGCATCCCAGAAGAAGGTTATGTTTAGTCATTTCCATCCTCTGATTCTTTTTTTCAACTCTTCTTCAGGCCAACTTGAGTTCATTAAGAAACCGTGTTCATTTTTGCGGTTATTTTCTTATGTGCAGATTGAAGAACTAGCTGAAGAAATCCAAGTGCTAACTCAAAAATTGGAATCCACTCGAGACCAATTTGAAGCAGTATGTATTATCAAATTCCATCTCTACTATCTTAGTTATGAAACTAGGAATGGACAACTTTTTTTATTCTTGAAAGGAACAAAAGACACCTTTTATTGATAGAATTAAAAGATTAAAAGAATATATCCCAAAAGAAAACTAGAACTTATAAAAAGAGCACCCTAGCTCATTGGAATTAGAAATGCACGTTGACTTGAGACTTTAGCCTAAAACCAAGTTGGTAAGCGTTTCCTTTAGAACAACAATCCTAGTAATCAAAAAGCCGAAGTTATATTTACTCCAAGAACACTCGAGAAGTGTTCAACTTCCAGCATAAGGACTAAAGAGTCGCTTCCAGATTGGTACTTCTCGTGTCAGATCGAAAACAAAACTTTCAGCCCTCACACCCCCTCAGGAAAAAGTGACTTAGAATACAAAATTTTGTATACAGGATGTCTATTGATCTGATCTCTATATGTGGACAAAGTATCAAAAGCAGTGGATCCTCAAGTGATTCAAAGATATTAGCTAACCAAGTTTTTTTTTTTTTTTACATTTTTCTTATAATTTTATGTGTCAATTATGTTACGATTTTAAGAAGTTTAAAATGCCATTAAACTTTAGATGGTATAATGCATGTATTTTTTAGCTCAACAAGTGTTGAGCTGGAGGATTGAACTTGAAACTTTAAAAAGGTAATAGGTAATTATCCACCGAACTATGCTCAAACTAACTGATCCGATCCTAGTAAGGAAGCTAATTAATACCAAAAATGAGTTAAATCCTATATTCAATCAAGTAATTGAGAGCAAAATACGACATTTAGGGAGAGCTTTGGAAATAATTTAATCTGTAGTACTCATCAATGTATGTCAAATACTTCTTACCGTGGCTAGCAGCATCATCCACACGTAGCTTGTGAATTTGGCTGGGCTGATTGTAAATTCATGATTCATTTGAGAAGACAGCTAAAACACCACATCAAACTGATATTGCACCAGAAAAAACTCTCAAGATTCTGCAACCTGCTGAGAAAATTCCCGAAACTCAATAGTATCAATGAGCGGGTCAGTTCGGGTCGGTTCATGTCATATATTTTGCCAACACCAACATCAAACTGACATATAGGCCAAATATTCCATAAGAAATCTAACCTAACTCAGACAGACTAAAATATACTTCAAACCAATTGAATTCAATTAGTTCAGTCAGTTTGGTCGGTCTTTCGGGTTTCATAGTAAAAAGTGCTCGAAACTTCACTCACACACATCTTGCTGGTCAGTTTTATAAGCTCACGGGTCTCTTCATCCAACTTAACATCATCTTTTTCCATTCTTTCAGCAACTATGAGTGGCATTTTACCAGCTTTTGCATAAGTGCGCAAAAGAGAATTGTAAATCTCAGTATTCACATGACCTGCATTCCTAAGAACAATCAATAACTTTTCTGCCCCTTCAATGTTACCCTCCTCCTCAAGTTTCTTACACACTTGTTTAACCAATCTCTCATCAGCATTCCATTTCTTCACACTGCCAACAGCATTCTTGAAGAAATGTAACACTTTCTCCATCTGATTCTCCTTCAAATAACCCCACGTGAGGAGCTCCCAAGTTGTGTAAGATGGAACAATTCCTTTTAGCGACATCCGATTGTAGAAACTCTCGGCTTGTTCCATTTGATTATTGTTGATATATGCCGCGAGAAGTATGTTTGGAACCCGAGTATCGCCTGTCCCAGACACCGACTCCCATTCAGTATAGAGTTTCTCGGCCTCCTCGAGCTCGTGGAGTTTCACAACAGAAGATATCATGCAAGTATACTCACTATCACTCATCTTTCGGAACGACGTCTTCATCTTTTTCCATATCCTCCAAGCTCCATCCTTATCCCCCAAATTGGTGTATAGGCTAAGAAGAGAGGAAAATGTGATTCTATTTCTTTTAGATGCCATTTTCTCCATCTCCTTCAAAGTAGATGCTGCTTTTTCAGTAAGTTGCTTTTTGGAATACAGATTAGTTAATGTGCTTAATGTTACCCAGTCTCGTTCGATTTTCATCTTCTTCATCTCGAGGAGAATGTTTTCAGCAGCTTCAACATCATTTTGCAAAGTACAAACATTCAACAAAAGATTGTATGTTACCACATCTGGTTTAGTGTTCTTCTGTAAATCTTGAATCAGAGCGGGAACCTTGTCTAGTTGCTTGTTTGAGATGTGAAGGGATAGCATGTGGTTGAAAGAAAGAGGACTTTTTAAGAAACCACATTCAGACATTTTCTCCATTAAAGCCTCAGCTTTGTCTGATAGATTGTTTTGCACATACACATGAAGAAGAGCTGTACAGGCAGATTGGCCTCTCATTTTATCAGGGAGATCCTCGAAAAACTTCTCTGCGCTATTCAGGCCACGGATTTTTGCAATCAAATCCAGGTGAACTGCATAATCACCTGGTAGCAACTTCATATCTTTCTGTGATGTCGTCCATTCACATATCTGCAGGGCGAAGTGTTCAAGATTATTCAAGACCACTTTCAGATCATATAAGTTACATGGTGCATGGTGATTCTGAGGTTATAAACAAGAAGTAAAATGGGGGCAGGTCAGAGATGTTTTCTTATAGGAAATAATGTAAAGTATTCACTAGAAAGGAGACATATATTAACTGAATTCCTTTTTAAAAAATTATGAACATGAACTCATGTCAAGACCAGCCCTTCTTTCCTTCTAGCGAGGGTGCTAGCTGTCCCATGCACCTATGTACTTATTATTTTGTTTCATATCCGCAAATGTTTAAGCATGCTTGTATGCACCTCGACTAATTTCATCAAACTTACATACTTATTACGTTGTAGTTTTCTCGAAGTAGGATCATTATGAGGTCGTGCCACAAGGTAATCCTGCGATATATTACACTCATGAAACTCCTCTAACAACAGAGAGCTCTTAAAAGATAAACTAAAGGCATGGATAAACTAAAGGCATGTTAGCCCTCCCTCTGCCAATAATTAATGTGGACCATATTAACATCCATAAAATCACTTCTAATAATTACAACCACAATATATGAGACCTACTTTCCTGTTGTCCCTCGCTCAATGAAAAATGAGTAAGTCAATTTATTTAATTCGACACTTCTTATTCCTTTTCTATACATGCTCACGTAGATGTTAATAACCAGTAAATCTCTTATATAAAAAATAATAATAATATTAACCAGTAAGTTTTTTTTCTTTTTGGTAAGAAACAATAATAATAACCGGTAAGTCAACCTGAATTCTTTCTAATATAGGGAACTTCTCAACTGAGGTAACACAATCCAAAAACTAAACCTTCTATGGAATCCAACTCAGCGCCTAACATAAAAGCTAATCTCGACTCTTGATAAGGCTCGCATTTTAGTTGACTAGAATTTTCTCCTTGGCACACTGCAATAAAGGAGAGGGAGTGGTTTCACTGCAACTAGTTGAAGTTTAATGTTAAAAGACAATAGTAACCCAGGTACCTCAAGTATCTCTATGATATTGTTCGCTTTGAGCATAGCCCTCACGGCGTTACTTTTGGTTTCACCTAAAATGTCTCATAAATTGTCCTCTCTTATATACCATGAATCACTTCCTTCTCTAACCAAGGTTGGACTTTGTTTGCATTCCCCCAGCAACATTTAACAAATTGGCATGATTCTTAAAATCAAAAATCACTATCAAATGGCTCTAATTCTTACATAATAACTCATAATAAATCCCTATTATAAATGATTAAGCTAAACTTGTCCACTTGCTCGAGATTTAAACCAAGTAAAACATAAGCTAGATTTGATGAACTATTCAAAAACATAAACTGATACTGAATTGACTCCAACTCATTCAGGTGGATATTAAACTCACTCACAGCTCAAGTAGAAGACGAGCTCCTCCAGCTCAAAAAATCAGTATAACACGCTATCTCCCACATTCATTACAATACATGAATTCAACAAAATAAGGAAAGATTGAAATCGAATACCTCGAGTGCGTGCTTGTAGCGCTTGAGCTTGCGGAGTTCCCGGACGATGCGATTGAGCTCGTATTTGCGGACAGTGTGGCCTTCTTCTTGCCATTTGCGAATGGCAATCACGGCGCTACGCTTGGGGAAAGCGAGGCTCATGAGTCTTCGCCCGAGCGTGTCTCGACCGCCGCCTCCACCGGAGCTGCCGGAGCCGCCTTCTATTGCCGTGTTCTCGACCGCCGCCATGAAGGCTTCCCCGGAAAATCGGCGGGCGGCCGTAGCCAGAGATGTCCGCAGGGAGCGGAGCATCGTGGATTCGTGGTTACCAATTTCTGAAATGACTCGCAGCGGCGAGTATAAATTAATATGTATTTTGGTTCTTTTTTTTTCAAATTAATTCTTCTTTTTTAAATTTCCAATTTAGTCCAATTTTTCAATTTAATCCCCTACGATAAACTTACACCACTGTGAATTGAAATATAAACTTAAATGTAAATTCAGAAAAAAGTAGTGAATTTTATAATTCCTCCTCCGAATTTTTTTAAAATTTGTATAAATTTGGAGTTTTATTCTCTTAAATAACTATTTTTTCTTTAAAATAAGTAAATAGATAAAAAGATCCATATAAGCATAACTCCACTCATTAATAAAAATTTTTAGAAGAAAAAATTTGTGGTTCAAATCTCCCCTCTCATTGTCGTACCAAAAAGGATAACAAAATAAATACATTTTTTATCTACTAAATTTTTGTCATTATGCTATGTAAATTTATCACAGACTAATTTTAACATTTAACCTATAATTGACTAAATTAAGAAAAAAATGTCAAACATATAACAGACTAAATTGATTTTTTTAAAACTGTAGGGATCTTCCTTGCCATGGATGCTAATTAAGTTTGAAAAAGTGATCAACAGAGCAGCACAAACACAACACACATAATGGCTGTAATTAATTTAAGTTGATTTTATTTATATCATATGAATATAAAGAAATCAAAAAGGGGAAAATAGGGGGACTAACCAGCTCTCACGTAATACCAATCAGGATCATAAGGGGCAAGCTCTTTGAATCTCGCAGTCTTCACTATATCTGTCCATGGTGGGAGTTCGACCTGCTTGGCAATGGTTTACGCAAAGAATAGCAAGTTATAACCACAATATGAACATGTCTTTAAATATAATAGACCCAAAAAAACACTCCGGAGCAAGTAGGGGTGTTCACGGGTTGAGTTGGATCGGGTTAGGAGAGTTTTTGGACCAACCCAAATTTTCGAGTTGGGTAGATCAAGAAGGTCAACCCAACCTTTAAATTTTTGGGTTGGGTCGGGTTGGATCGTCGGGTTGAGACGAGATAAATAAAGCAGTCAAACCAAAGAGGATTCAGTTGAAATCTGTAGAAATCGATGGTTCATTGTAGAGAAAACTATTCACTGTTTACTATCCCAACCGCCATCATCAGAAGAGGATGAAAATGAGAAAGAGTACACAGGATGAGGGGAGGAGAAAGGAGGGGAAACTAGAGAAGAGATCAATGGAAGAAGAAGAGGGGAGGGAAAGACCAACGAGAACGATAGGGAGATGAAAGGAATGGGATGGAGGGAGGAAAACAGAGGGGGAGATGAGAGGAGTGGGGGAGAAGAGAGAGAAAGTGGGAGGGGGGAGGAAGGGAGAGAAACGGGGGGAGGGAGGTGGCACGTTAGGTTTTGGTTAGATTTAATATATATATATATATATAATTTATATATATATTATATATATTAAAAAAATAAAAATAAAGTATTATTGGGTCGGGTCAACCCGGAAATTTTAAGGYTTAACCCTAGAACGACCCAACCCAAGGTTTATTCCAATCCAACCGGGTTGGGTGCTTCATCGTCGGGTATTTTGAACTCCTAGGAGCAAGTATAAGGACAATAAAGTAAAATATTTCACATGAGGTGAAAAAAGACCAGAAAAAAAAAAAGAAAATAGTACCACGCCCACAAATTTAATCAATCGAACAGGAAAATTAAAAACATGAACGGACAATCTAAGAAGCAGATCGATCGAAATGTCTATGCCCTAAAACCTTCAAACTATTTGTTTTATTAGGAAGGATGAAAAAAACTAAGAACAATGGAGGCCGGGAGAAGACAATAAAGAGGGCAAACAACACAGAAACAAGCACACCCCACAACAGAAGATGAAACTCAAATTTAGCGTAAACTCCATTTCCGAAACTAACATCCCAGCATACTCTTTTCAATCGACAATCGAGCTTTCTCATCCATAGTAAAATTAAAAAAAAAACTGATACCTTTCTGGATCGCTTGTTATTGTTATTGTTCATTTTTTTTTTCAAAAACCTTAATAAAAACATTGTTTTATCACTTGTTTTTTTTAGTATAATATGTGAGTGGATTTGAATTCAGTGTCTTATGATGTCTTAACCAATCGAGGCTCAGGACTTATCGCTTGTTACTGGCAAATTTTAGAGAGGAAATAATATGAACATAATAATTAATAACAAAATATAATTTTATTGAATTGGATTCCCTATCATCCTATTTGTAATAATACAATCTTAATAAGACATCTAAGTCAAATAATATCTAAACTAAATACATTCCAATTATAATACGAAACTTAAATCATATCAAATTATATTAATTACTTATATAATAAGTAATAAATATTAAAAATCCAATATAACGTATATTTTTTTAATAATCGAGTTAAAAGTGAATTAGTTATATAAACAAAAATTACTTTTTTTTTCTTTTTTGGTTAAAAAAATCCATAAATAAAAAACAATTACTTAACACATATATATTTTTATACGTTAAAATATATAAACGATAAACAATAAATAAAAATGTCACCAAACGGACCCTGAAATTTGAGGTGAGAATTTGAATTAAAAAACGTAAGAGAAAGCATCTTCATACATTACAAACTCATACCTAAACTTTAGTAATGGGGTCAAGTGCTCCAATATTAGTTAGGACATAAATGTATTATGAAGCTTGTAATACATCATCACTATAATATGAATATGGAATATTTATTTAACATGATGTGAAGCACGAACATTAATATAAACATAAATAACATGTCGTCAAGCATGACTTTTATTTGATAGTATATATTAGTTGAACTTATAAATTAAAGTTAGAATTACAACTTGTTAACTTTTATTAATAGGAGTTGAATCTTGAATAGTTTTGTTTTTTTTATTCGTTTTATTTAAAAGAATAAAAAACAATTGTTTATTATTATCATTAGTTTAGAACATTTTGTATAACCATTTATTGTTTCTGGTTTTCTAAAGATCTAAATAACAATTTTATGAGAAAAATTAAATGAAATATTTAAATTTTATGTCATGATATTTTTTTATATGTTTTATAAGTGAAGAATAGTAAAATAATGTTTTAATCCATGTTTAACCGCAAAAAAAAAAAGTTTTAACTTTGGTGTTTCTAAAATTTATACAGGATTTTAAAAAACAATAAACAATAAAAATAACCTAACAATTATATATTTCAAAAAACCTATAGACAATAAACAATGCATAAGAAAGAATAAAATAACATTAATATCTCCGATCATCTCAATAGGCATACATAATTCACTACTCATTTTAAACTTTGACACTTTTCTTATGCTAAAAAAATAATAAAGAAAAGCATTAGTCCCTCACTATCATCACCATTTACCAGAGCCACTGGTGTCAAAAATATATATACGTTTTTACCATCAACTTTTAATTTTATTACCGTCAACGTCATCTATTTTCGTTAGTTCATCGAATTAAGGTACGAGAAATTCAACTATTGATTTTGAAGAAGATATTGAGGTTGTTTGATCACGAAAACGATCAAGTTTGATCGTAAAGCTTGAATTAGGTACACTGACGTACAACAAAATAGAATTAGCCTTTCGACGCTCAAATTAGTACACATTTTAATATACACTCGATAGATAATATAGTTTCGCGTACCTTATGTGAGAGATGTGATCTCCATTTATAAAGGTGAACTCTCGACAAGACTTCTGACAGTGCTCCAATAACTCTCAACAGCTCCAGAACTGTGACACCTTGTTGGAGAACGTGTCTGTTGACTTTGCGCTTGTAGATACTCTTCAAGGTCAGATCATACTTGACAAAGGTCGGTGAGAAGGTGAAATGTGTAGTTATCGACTCGACTTCCACAAGCGAGTGGCTTATCAAAATGAAAAGATTCATTTGGTTCTTCTAATCATCATAGTGATTGATGATCTATAATGTCGACACGTGACAAGTGATAATTCACCTCCAACAAAGGTCTTATTAGATATTCTCCAATTAATTATCCTAACCTTAGACTTATAAACTTTTCGGTTCCCATTAATTAAAAATAAAAATCAAGTTTTGCCTAAAATTAAATTTGATAGATGTCAGCGTCATTGAATAAATCAATTAAATCGATTAAAACTCACAATTTCTCGCATGATTCTCCAAACAAAATCGCATCAAAAGGTAAAAATTGCTGTCATTCAAGTTTTAGTTAAAATTTACAACGTATCAAAGTTTAAATTCAATTCCACGATATTGAA